AAACAAACAATCAAAAGACAAAAGAAAAGGTTAGTTGAAAATAAAGCGTTCATTAATCCCGTTGGGACTAAGAGTGCCCAATAGGGCACACTAGTTTTTAGCTAGTTATATCTTTCTATGTATATATATATATATATATGTTTTGCTTTTGAGTTAGAACAGTCTGGTGCTGAAACAGCTGTAAAAAATGTCGTTATCATGAATATCACTTTGAGTATTAATTTTGATTTAACCATATGTTTATGTTAGKAATGCTGTTTGTGCTGTATGCTTTTCTCAGGGAAAAAAACTAGAAATAAACGTAAAATAATTCTTCATTCTTAATGAATCCATATTTTTCGCTTTTCTCTTTGTGGGCTTTCTTTGTGCTGTCATATATTATGATTGGGGTCCCTGTGCATTCAAAATGGCGCCACAACAACAGGAGTTGAACTGAGTTGAACGTAAACGTATAGTTTATAAATTTGTGGCTTTTGGTACATGGAAAGTTTACACTGCCGGTTCTTCCCACTGACATTCAAAGTAATCTCGAATTTTCTAAGACATAGAACACGAGTTTTCATTCAATTTCGTGAGTAGGCTTACAGTCAAACTCATGGGATCGCAAAGCCTCAGGTATTAATACACAATTTTTAATTTTTATCCAATTTCTTTTTCATCTATTTATATATTTTAAACTAAATTTCGCATTTTACACATCTGTGAAATGCGAAATGGCGGTTTTGCATTTTAAAGATCTGTCAGGCGAAATCCTCGTTTCGCATTTTATTGTATCGTTTCGTTTCGTGGCTTGCTTTAAGCCGCGCACACATTACATCAACTGGTAATATTTTTATTCACTAAACTAAATATTCGTTATTTACAAACCAATTACTTTTCCCTTTGCTAATAAATATTTACAACAAGATTGGCATTACTCATAAAGTCTACAATATCAGGTATCAAAACACAGCTGATCAGCTAAAGTAATATCACAGTATTGTACAAGATGGAATACTATTGAATGGTAATAATCAAACTTAGTTTACAGTCTACAATATCAGATATCAAGACGCATCTGATCAGTATATCACTGAAGATAAAATAGTTTAATCTAAACTAGGCCTT